TGGTGTTAAAAAGGTTGGAGACCCCTGCTTTAATGGATGCACAATACGTATATCAGTACTATGTTTTAAAATTGATCTGTATTGCCTGGTACTGGATATTTAATTGTGCATGCTCATTTCTGCTGTTTTTACATTTACACCGTCATCTAACACTCACTTGAAGTTAATTTCTAAAAACACTAATGATGTAATCTTTTAATGTAATGTAATCTTTTGCAAATTAATGTTCTTTTATGTAATGTCACTGGTAGCATTTAAAATGATTATTTTTAGTGTTTTATTTGTAATTTATTTAGACAAAATAATATGTGACCCTGGACCACAAAACCAGTCATAAGGGTCAATTTTTCGAAATTGAGGTTTATACGTCATCTGAAAGCTGAATAAATAAGCTTTCCATTGATGTATGGTTTGTTAGGATAGGGAAATATTTGGCCAAGAAAGAACTATTTGAAAATCTGGAATCTGAGGGTGCAAAAAATCAAAATATTGAGAAAATCGCCTTTAAAGTTGTCCAAATTAAGTTCTTAGCAATGCATATTACTAGACAAAAATTAAGTTTTAATATATTTACAGTAGGAAATTTACAAAATATTTTCATGGAACATGATCTTTAATTGATTATTCTCTCCTAATGATTTTTGGCATAAAAGAAAAATCAACAATTTTGACCCATACAATGTATTTTTGGCTATTGCTACAAATATACCCCAGTGACTTAAGACTGGATTTGTGGTCCAGGGTCACATATAGTATTTTAATATAAGCAGTTTGTTGGTTTTCAGCAGTCATGAAATTATGAGTTTAAAAGAAATTGCATTGAATGTTAATGACACTGTTTTGGTAAAACAGATCAGGTTTATTGCTTGAGTGAAAAAAAAAAAGCCATTATGCTCACCAAGGCTGCATTTCTTTGCTGAATAAAATTAAGAATTTCTTTCAAAAAAAAAATAAAAATAAAAATAAAAAAAAATATATATATATACATTTCTTGCTGTAAACAACCACCCTAGATGCCTTAGAAACCACACAGCAATACACTAAAAAGCACCTTAACCAACACTTAGCAATGCCCTGGCAACCACCCTAGAATTGTCAGGAAAAGTACAAATGTATTTTTTTTTCTTGTTGGTACTGTCTTTTTAATAAACCCTTTAGTTTAAGTCTTATGTTGTATGTTGAAGTACCTGTTTCACATCAATACACACATTGTTTTTAGAGTCTTGTTTTGAGAACAGTGGTTCAAAGATCAGTACAAAACTCTTAATAAATAGTGAGGGATTTTTCGAGTTTAGTTTCGATCACATGAGTTTCAGTTTACTCTGTATCCATCTATAAATTGATGTTTTTCTTTGGCAAATGCAGCACTGAAAAGAGAAAGAAATGGTGTGGAGTACTGAACTGAATAAGTGAGGGTCTTTAGTGTCTGTGTGGGTCACAATCAGGAGGGGGCTGGATTTGGTTTTGAAAGAGAACAGTCCCCTCCTTCCCCCTCCCCACAACGTGAGAAAAATAAAACAAAGAGAGTAATGTGGAGTGCGACAGGCCGTCTCTTTCAGGATCTCTGCGGTCCGCAGCCTGGATTAGGACAATGAGAGCCAGCACAACATACACACTAAACAAAAAAGAAAAAAAAACAAGTGCGCTGTTTCTTTCGAGAAGAAGTATTGTTGCTTTGTTAAAACGACAGCCTTGGCATTTTGTCTTCATCCATCACACACCGAACACAAATCATTTGCAGAGCTCAAAACAGTTTGGAGATTTCCAGGCATGATATGCTCCGCCTGTTTTTTTTTTTTTTTTTCTTCTTCTTCACTGCACCAAATCCACACAATGCAAATTGACTTGGGAAACCTCAGGCCTTAATCTGTCTGAAAATAAACATGAATCCTCCAAAGATCACCCAGGCGAGATCCATTCGCTCTGTGTGTTGGTGGAAATGTCACTGTAACTGAATGGAACCAATGAGGTGGATGGGATTTATTCCCCAATATAAGTCCAGCATTGATAATGACAGCATCGTCACACTCTGTCTAATCTGAAGGTCCTGCAAGGGTGCAGGACTGTCAATCAGGAGGGGGCTGGATTTGGTTTTGAAAGAGAACAGTCCCCTCCTTCCCCCTCCCCACAACGTGAGAAAAATAAAACAAAGAGAGTAATGTGGAGTGCGACAGGCCGTCTCTTTCAGGATCTCTGCGGTCCGCAGCCTGGATTAGGACAATGAGAGCCAGCACAACATACACACTAAACAAAAAAGAAAAAAAAACAAGTGCGCTGTTTCTTTCGAGAAGAAGTATTGTTGCTTTGTTAAAACGACAGCCTTGGCATTTTGTCTTCATCCATCACACACCGAACACAAATCATTTGCAGAGCTCAAAACAGTTTGGAGATTTCCAGGCATGATATGCTCCGCCTGTTTTTTGTTTTTTTTTCTTCTTCTTCACTGCACCAAATCCACACAATGCAAATTGACTTGGGAAACCTCAGGCCTTAATCTGTCTGAAAATAAACATGAATCCTCCAAAGATCACCCAGGCGAGATCCATTCGCTCTGTGTGTTGGTGGAAATGTCACTGTAACTGAATGGAACCAATGAGGTGGATGGGATTTATTCCCCAATATAAGTCCAGCATTGATAATGACAGCATCGTCACACTCTGTCTAATCTGAAGGTCCTGCAAGGGTGCAGGACTGTCCTTTCATTTTTGTGACTTAGTTTGGAGAACAACTGATGTGGGAGGGTTCAAATTTGCATGCCTCATGATAGTAGACCGAGAAGGAGTGAGGTTGTAAGAGCTGCAGGCTTGTGCTGTCCCCTCACAGACAGGTCTGCCAGGGCTGCACTTGGATTGACCCATCATGGGCTGAGTTTAGATCCGTATCCTACGCTCCAGGGCCTGAAAGACATTGTGGTGTCAGGCCTTCACTCTTCCACTAGTTTAATGCATGTGGAAAACTGAAACTGACAGAAATATACTCTCTATTCGTAGTTTCCCCAATTTCCTACCATACAATACTTACATACTTACAAATAAATAATCCGTTAAGGTGCACATTAGCGAAATTTCGTGTTGGAAAACAAAAACATTTTCCATTGTTAATAGTGAATTCTCACAGAGAAGTCACTTTCAAACCAAGCAGCTTTCTGTTGTTCAGCGCTGCAAATTCATGTGATCAATTTGAATATGAGCAAAATCTGAATGGGGAATTTTTTTGCCTTCAAGCTAACCACTGATCACATGGATTTCAATTGAAATGATTGGAATTCACCAGTGAAATTCCGCAGAGCAACAGTAAATGTGACAATCTGATGCCACAAACAAATTCGCTTATCTTAGTTCTTTAGACCATCTATGGCTGTGTTTATAGAAACCAATATACTGATCTGGAATTTTTAGCGTAATATTAAAGAGTTAGTTCACCCAAAAATAAAAATTCTGTCATCAATCACTCAGCCTCATGTCGTTTCAAACCCATAAGACACTTCATTTTCAAAACACAAATAAAGGTATTTTTAATGAAACATAAAATTTCTGTCCCTCCATTGAAAGTCCATTACTCTAAAACTTTGACACTTCACAGAGTTCATAAAGACATTGTAAATAATGCAAATATAATAACTGGAAACTCAGATGTGCTTGTTTGATGTGCAAGTATGGTTTAGTTTCTGTTTTACCATATTTAATGTGCTCTTTGTTTATACTGTATGCGAATAAACACTAAACTAAATCTTTTCTTTACATAAAACAACTGTCCCACCTCAGGAGACTTGGATTAAACCTCAATTTACGTGAAATGATTTTACAATGTTTTTATAGAATTTTTTGAAGCAAATGTGTCATTGAAGAGCCTGTATTTTTAATACTGTCTATTTAAGAACACATGTTTGACACCGATACATAAATGCTGTATTGTAATTTTCAAACTGAAGGTGTTATAATTTTCATGCATGCAAGACATTGGCTCATAAGCCTGTGCCTTTGAAAGGGATTAACCGTGTATTATTGATAGGGAATCAGATCAAACACAAGAGCAGATCCTGACAGACTTAGCTGTTCATATCTGCAAAGGGTCTCCATGGTAACTGGTTTTAAAAGTCCTGAAGCACAGGAGGAAAGTGCCTGTTTATTTTTATCTAGCTCTGCCTTTCTGAGAAACCAGATGCAGCACCTGATAAACATAAACAAAAGCGTCTGTCTTTGTGATATTGTAACTCACTCTTGGAACACCTCCATGATAATTCTGCAATAAGTGGAATTCATTTAAAGGGATGTTCAAACAAAAAAGCTTTTTGTCATCATTTACTCGGCCTCATGTTGTTCCAAACTCGTAGAAGGGAGTGTACGCTGCACTTTGCCTATACAAGGCATAACATTTTTCAGTCTGTACTGTAACCTGTAATGGAGCGTATTAACTTCTTTTATGACAATTTTATGCAATTGTCTGCTTGCTTGGTGGTTGTTGTTGTTGTTGTTGTTTTTTTTTCCTGAGGTCAATTTATTTGTTGTTGTATAGAACAAAACAGTGTAAACATTCTTCAAAATATCTTAAATGAAGTCATCTTATATAAAGTCGTACAGGTTTGGAACAACATGAGGGGGAGTAAATAATGACTTTTTTTTTTTATTTTATTTTTTTTACCAAACTGTTCTTGTGTTTTGTATGGATTAGAAATTATAGTCAAATAATTTATTTTTTAAAGCACAATTAAAATATACTGTTAGGATGAGCCAGAAACTATTTAATTTAATTAAAAAATTAATGGAGACAAAAATGAATATAAATAGACAACATTTGACTTTAACTGTAAAGTTTATCTATACATCAGTACATCAGTACATGTAATATAATTTAATTAATGAGAAAACAAATAGTAAATATATATAAATAAAATATAAAAAATACAGCACAATAAAAAGCCGTGTGTTAGACTAACGTTGACTTGACTGTAAAGTTTAGCCCAACATCAATAACTGTATGTTTTTGGTTTATTTTCACAGCCTCAGTTCACCGAGCCCCACCCACAGTCCCCAAGACTCTGTCAGCCTATCAGACATGAAGGCAGGACTATTAGACACCTTGTCCAGGGAGAAAACTATTAAGTCAGGTATTGATTCCTATCAGTCAATCATCTGGACATCGATGGTCTCATCCACATACAACACTCATGATCTATCTCTGTTTACCATTAGAGGACACAGTGAAATTGGCCCTGTATGACCAGGCCATTGTCTCGGGGCATGATGGTCTAGCTGGTGGCTGCACCTGGGAGGACAAACTGTGTGAGCAGCAGGAGCAGCTGGAGAGGGAGATGCAGGAGGCACGGAAAATGTTGTCTAGCCTACAGGTGACACTAACATATATCATCTCCTAATTTAATTTTAATTGCTTCTAGAGAGCTTGTGGCATTTAACAGATGTTTTTGTGTGTTTTATAGGCCCTCCTTCTCCACGGTTCATTACCTGAGGATGAGCAGGAGGTGTTGCTCAGTCTGGGTGAGGGGGTTGAAAATGCGGAGCAGCAACTGGTGCGTATTTTTATTTCTGTCACGGTTTTGTTTTACCCCAAATTGGCCCCTTTTCTTCCATATCCTGCATATCCCTCGCTCTTGATAATATGTGACTTCCTATGCCCCTCCCTCCCCCCCCATCTCTCTCATTCTCTCCTGCTCTTTCACTAAGTTCTGTCAGGGCAGATCATGTTACTCTCACAGTGAACTTTGCTTTGTTTGTGGGAGAGACGCAGGTATCGGTTTCTCTCCTTCTCTCCTACAGTGTCTGTTTCTCTCTTCCATTTCTTTTCTGTTTTCTGTAAATTTGTAGTGTAAACCAGTTCCTTCTGTGTTTAGCGTAATAAGTGTGCTGTAGTTATGGTGGTTTTGTTCTGAAGTAGCAAAAAACCCCTTGTTGTTGTGCTACAGGTTGTAATACGAAGTCGCCTGGACCAGAGCATGGCGGAGAGTCAAGAACTAAAGGTGGGCATTCACAGTGTTTTTGTTCTGGGCTGGGCTTTTTTGAGAATGTAATACTTTTATCCATAAGTTTTAAGTGAATCAGAAGTGACAATAAAAACATTTATTATGTTTAAAAGAATTCTATTTAAAATAAATGCTGTTCTTTTGAACTTTCTATTAACCAAAGAATCTTGAAAAAAAAACAAAAAAAAAAACAGTTTCCACAAAGATATTGGGAATATTTTTTCAACATTGATAATAATATGAAATGTTTCTTGAGCTCCAAATTAGCATATTAGAATGATTTCTTAATGATTATGTGACACTGAAGACTCGAGTGATGGCTGCTAAAAATTCAGCTTTGTTATTGCAGGAATAAATAACATTTAAAAATATAGTAAAATAGAATACATACTTTGAATTGTAATATTATGTATTGTTGTAATATTATGAACCGCAATATATATATTCTTGGAACACCTCCATGATAATTCTGCAATAAGTGGAATTCATTTAATCCACTGTGTATTATATATATATAATACACAGTGGAGATCAAAATTAGAGAACACCCTATAATTTCCAAGGTCACTGCTTAGTCCTATTTGAAGTTATCCTAATAGGAGTAAGAAGGCCAGTTTTTGTTAAGCATATTTCATAAATTAATTGTATTCTGAAGCACAGTATAAAAAACTTAAATGAGATATTTGAAAAAGAACTCTGATCAAAATTAGAGAACACTTACAGATACCTCCAAGTTATTGGTGTTAATCTGCCACCTGGAGCTAATTTCCTTAATTATATGACAAACCCTATTTAACTGGCAGCAGTCCTCCAGTTTTCACTGAGATTGCAAGATGGCAGGCCGGTCTAAGGTGACTGACACCCTGCAACAGGAGCTTGTCCAGATGAAGTCTAAAGGGATGAATGACCCTTTCAGCCAGTGCAAGAGAAGTTGGTCGAGAAGTTGATCTGACAGAACAAACTATGTAGTTACTACTATGTATGTGCTGATCTTGTCAAGTCCTGATGATTTTTTTATAACCAATTCATGCTGTAAAGTCTCTTGAGTTTTTCTTATTTATATTATATTTACATGCAGAGGGAGCTGTTGAGGTTCAAACAGGAGGCTCGCAACCTGCAAGGAGTGAAAGTAAGTCTTGCATACCTCCAAACTCCACATGCCTATGAAATAAGACCCTCACACTTACATAATGAAGAATTCAACTTATTTATGTTTCAGACTAATATAAACAAGTTAGATATGTAAGTTGAGATTGATTACCCCCCCCCCCCCCTCTCTACAGTTTAGTTTAATTGACTGTGCTTTGTCATCACTCAGGATGCTCTTCAGCAGCGTATGGCTGTGCAGGAGTCCTCAGTCCTGCAGCTCAAACAGGAACTCCTGCGCACCAGTATGGCCAAAGATGAGCTGGCGGGACAAAGTGTGAGCGCATGCAACGGAGACCTGACATTTTTGTCTTTATGCTATGCATATTAATTTCATTTCAGTTATAGTAAATCTGAGACCAGTTGTCAGTTATTATCTGTGTATATTTTCTCAGGCCGAGCTACAGAGGAAGCTAGAGGAGAGGAACAGACTTCTCAGCGAATATAAGGCATGGCTTGTTTTGTATATACAAAATATAATATGTTTATTAAAAGCATTTTACCATAATTAATAATATGTATTCTAATTCTACTGTTCATTAGTGTGTTTTCAGTTGTTTTTATATAAATTATAGTGTTTTCTAGGTCTATTGATATTTAGTGGTAATTAATGTTGCAACCTTAATTGAGATCCTTGTTGTTTATATGTCAGATTATATTAAAGGGGTCATATGATGCTGCTAAAAAGAACATTATTTTGTGTATTTGGTGTAATGAAATGTGTTTATGCGGTTTAAAGTTCAAAAAACACATTATTTACCACATACTGTACATTATTGTTTCTCCTCTATGCCCCGCCTTTTTGAAACGCGTCGATTTTTACATAGCTCATCGGTCTGAAAAAGCGAGGAGGAAAAATTGAAATCGCATCATATGACCCCTTTAATTTGTTCTGCTTGCTAAATGAATAAAGTAAACTATTATCTGATATTTATACATTTAGAAATATATTACTTTTAAGCTTCAGTCTTGTTACTAGTTTTTATTAGTAGCTTGTAGTGAAGCTAACTTATTTTTCAAAAGGTTAGCTTGACTAGTTGTGCTTTAAAGTATGAGTAGATTGTATCTTAAAAAGCGATAATGTAGTATCCCCCACATTAAAGAATGCTTTTTCTAATCAAATGCTGATTTTCATAATAAAGCTTTGCTAGTTATACCACATCTCTTCCTATAACAAATGTAAACTTACAGAAAGAACTGGGCCAAAAGGATCGACTTCTGCAGCAGCAACAGCTGAAGCTGGATGAGGCACTGCGCAAGCTGACAGACAGCAGCAGCCAGCAGGTACAACATCAAACACAGTCCTGCAGACTCAACTACCATAGCAGCTGTGAAGGAGAACTGCATGATGGGAATGGAAATGCAGGATAGTTATTCATTTGTTGAGGAATTTATGCATGTCAAGTAAAATGTACAGCTGTTATTGCAAATTAGTATTTAATGTAAAAAATATATACATAAAAGTTTTACTTACATTTTCTCATTTAATAGTAATGTATAAAATATGTAATAAATATATAATTAAAATATATGTATAAAAATAGAAATTTATAATCACAAATGCTTCTTGTATGCTTCTAGTTGTAAATTAAGTTAAATGTAAATGTTTTTTGTGCAAATTTGGCTCATTAATACAGTAATATTAATATCTACAATGTGCAATACATATATAATAATTAAAAATGTAATGAATGAAAATAGAAATATAATTAAAAACTTCAAGTATGCTTGTAAATGTAAATGTATTTTTGTAAATATGTCATTTAATAAAGTAATATTAATATCTACAATATGTAATAAATATATAATAACTCATAATATATAATGCATACAAATATAAACGTATAAAGAAAATATTTGTAGTATTCTATAAATATATGTTAAATTGAATGTAAATGCTTTTAAAACTTAATTTAAAAACATGCAGTTTTTCTTTTTTTGAGTTTTTTTTGCAGGTAAAAATATCACCAGGGCAAGTACAGGCCTGACCGCCCCAGCAGAAAAAAATCCTTATTATTGAGCCCTAATAATTTATGTTACCTTGTTATGTAGCTGAAGGCTTCTGCACTTGCTTTTGTAGAGCAGTTCAGTGTGAATGAGAATGTTTCTGTTTTTCAGGCTTGCCTGCAGAGAGAGCTGGAACACAAGGAGAGTATTCTCAAAGAGATAATGAGCCATGAGACAGAGGTAACATGCCTATAAATAATACACAATTCTCCCCACAGCTGTTTGTTTTCACATATTGCAGAGTATGTTTAGTGCTTCCATAATTTATTAAAGTTTCAAGTAAAGATTTGTCACCCTGTCATCTGTTTCAGCTTTCTGGCTCGCAAAACAATGGCTACTCACACCCACCCATCACAACATCAAAACCACACCATGGGGTAAATAAGCCTGAAGCCTTGTTTTTTTTTTGTTTTTTTTATGTCTATAGAGATATATGTAATTGTTTCTCTTATAGGCGGAGGAGCTGCAGTTAGTAAGAGATGCTCTGCGTAGTCTGAGGAACAGCTTTGGAGGTCACGACCCTCAGCATCACACTCTGGACACCCTTGAGCAAGGTGTGGCCAGCCTGATGGATCGCCTCTATGACCTGGAAGCACGCCACAAAAAGGAGAGGAGGGTACGAGGAATGTTTATCCATTCTCACACAGCAGGTTTTGCACCTGATCTACATTGTCCCAGAATTCTGTTCTCAAATCAGTCTGTTTCTTTGTAGACCCGAGGCAAATCTCCAGGACATAAAGCATCTCATTCAGATCGAGACTCCTGGCCTCCTACTTCAAGTAAGCATACATCTTAATCCCAAAACACCTCAGTACAGGAAATGACAGAACTGTTACAATAAAAATTAACATAATTTGTACTTGTGTTGTTTCTCAGTAGGTATATTGCTGGTTATTTAAAACTATGCACCAGTATCGGTATCGGGCCCGATACTGCACTCCTGTACTCGTATTTGTACTCATTAAAATGCTCCGATACCAAAAACCAATACCACACAACGCGTGAAAAGTGAAATACCAAAAACCAATACCGCACAACGCGTGAACAGTGTGGTGTCCAGACAAAGCAACACAGACAACAGAACAACAGAGAGCAGAATGTAGTTATTAGAGATTTAAGGGTGTCTCTGAAGTACATGTATGTAATTAATATAATGTTAAACATTCAAAAATACTAAAGTTACTTGGCGGTAAGAAGAGAGCGAGAGCGCGTGCACTTCTGTTGCATTATCTTGACTGCTGTTCGCTCACTTGGCACACGCATCATTTGGATTAAAACTGAATTGTAAATATAAAAACCAACAAAAATTATTGGGGCATTCACTATAAACAACATTTATTTTAAACGTCAAGCATACACAACTTTATTTAAAGCGAAAGTGAAACTAGCAGCCTGTGTGAAATACGCTAGGCTATACGTGTCTTTCATTCTGCACCAATACAAGTGTGTGCGCGCAACTTGCTTGACGTTAACTGCATTATATGAGTCGCTTTGGAATTATAAGTCGCAAAAATGTTCCAGATGATAAAAACGTGTCTTATATTTCAGAAAATGTTCAACGCTGTTAAAAGATTTATGTATAACGAGTGGTTATACATTATTACAGGAAAACGCCTTGTGATTACAGTACTGAGCCGCTGCAATGGAGCAGCTCTAATGCACTATTAAATTAAAGATGAAATACCACAGAACAATAAAATGAACAGTGAAAATAACAAAAGCTTGTACAATACATTTTAACAGATATAATTAAGTGTGAAAATAACTAAAGAAAATATCTGTTTACTAAATGAAGCCAACTGTGATTCTTTTTTTCTTTTTCTTTTTCTTTTTTTTTTTGGTTTCTGTACCCAATATTTGAAAAAATTTAAATTGCAATATCGGTATCGGCAAGTTCCAAAAATAAAAGTATCGGTATCTGACTCGTTCTGGAAAAAGTGGTATCAATGCATCCCTATTTAAAACATTACTAAAGTGAAGAATCTCCACTGCTCTCTTACAGAAATGGCTCATTCTCAGAGCAGCCCTGCGTTAAACTCTTCAGCATGCACCAAAGTCCTGTACTTTACTGACTGTTCCCTCACGCCATTCATGATCAACATCCCCAAGAGGTCAGTCAGACGCTGTTACACATATATTGCTATGCTTGAGTGGATCTTCAGCCTTAAATCACTATAATGTGGTAAACTTTAGATGTGTGCTATGAAATTTTTCATTGTCTTATGTCAACAGGCTTGGGGAGGTCACCCTGCGAGACTTCAAGGCTGCTGTAGATCGGGAAGGCAATTATCGGTACCATTTTAAAGCGCTGGATCCAGAGTTCGGCACTGTGAAGGAAGAGGTATTGCCACATAATCAGTCAACAGGATATTTTCTTTATATATTCAAGCATCTAAATCAGTGGTTCTCAACCAGAAGGCCAGGGCCCATTAGGGGGCCGCAGCAAACTTTCAGTTACGTAGGGGGTCTTTGAATATTTTTTTTGAAAAGTGGGGACTTTTAAGTTAAAAATGCTGAGAAACACTGAGCTAAATTAAATCTAAATAAAATGTTACATATATTGTGTAATGTATAAAAAGGACCTATGGCTTCTCCCAGGTGTTCCAGGATGAGGCAGTGGTGCCTGGCTGGGAAGGGAAGATCGTAGCCTGGGTAGAAGAGGATCATGGGCAAAGAGGGTACTGCATGCATCCATACAGCTGGTAGCACATCCGTTTCTCACCATTTTAAGCTCAATCTCTCTATTTTCCTCGACAGGACCTAACACAAGTCAGCAAGAAGCTGTCAAAGGAAAGAGAGACATCTGTGCCAAAATGAAATAACATTGATTTGTAACTCAAGTGTACAGAGGATGGAGCTTTAGTGCCCTAAAAAGTCCCACCCTCCTTTTCTCTATCCTGCATGAGCTGAACAGCTGAATGCACCTGAAAGGACTTGGAGGATCATCATAAGGATCACCAGAAATGATAGAGTCCCATCTTCTGTCCTGTCCAGACCAGTATTACTCAAACATATACAGAGGATGGGAGAACAGGATTTCTGATCTCTTTTAGAGGTCTTGCCATAGAACGGACACCCATTCCAATAAACGCTTTACGAGCAAACAAACTCTTCACTGTGATGGAGGAGCCTTTTGTTTGTTACTGTAATGAGACGCTGGATTTTTCAGTTCACCTGCTTTAAAGTAGGTTCCGCCAGAGTACTTTTTTGTTTGTTTTGATGAACCAAAATTGAAATCATTTTGCAGTAAAAAGAGACCAGTTCGGTAATCTTGACTGTCAAGAGTATTTGTGTGAATGTGGTTATGAATCTTAAGAAAGCAGCAGTAAAAGTATGTGAGTATAGAGCAGAAAGGAGTTTGAAGTTTTTTATCTTAGAGAAAGAGTTTCCCTAAAATATACGTTAGACATTCTTTATGAAGTTATGCAAAAAAAAAAAAAAAAGAGGGTAAATCAGTAAAGGACCCAAAGTGTTTTGCTTATTTGATATAAGTGAAAGTGACGTGACATGTGGCCAAGTATGGTGACCCATACTCGGAATTAGTGCTCTGCATTTACCCATCCAAAGTGCGCACACACACAGCAGTGAACACACACACACCGTGAACACACACCCGGAGCAGTGGGCAGCCATTTATGCTGCGGCGCCCGGGGAGCAGTTGGGGGTTCGGTGCCTTGCTCAAGGGCACCTCAGTCGTGGTATTGAAGGTGGGAGAGAGCGCTGTACATTCACTCCCCCCACCTACAATACCTGCCGGTACGAGACTCGAACCCACAACCTTTGGGTTACGAGTCCGACTCTCTAACCATTAGGCCACGACTTCCCCATGGCCTAATTCTATGATAAGATCATACAATGTCATTCAATATGTCTTTTTAAAGAGCCCTTAGATTTAACATTTAAACAGATGAAATGGTTTTTTTTTTGTATGCATGTCTTTTGAGAGTCTGCACTGAAGATTTGTCTGTATGCCATAAATGTGGTGAAATTACAGCTCATGATTTTGACCATAGCAAACCTTTGGGTTACGAGTCCGACTCTCTAACCATTAGAGATTACCCATTAACCATTATGCATGTCTTTTGAGAGTCTGCACTGAAGATTTGTCTGTATGCCATAAATGTGGTGAAATTACAGCTCATGATTTTGACCATAGCACAACATAAAATGTAGTATACAGTAGATATATTGCATTATCACTGCAGGCTTTCAAATGTAATTTTGGTAACTATCAGATGTGCCGTTCAGCTGCACTGATTTGAGTTTACAGGAAAGTGCCTGGAATCTGCTACAAAAGAGAGGTGACCGGGTTTGCCTTTTTGTATTTTTGTTCTGTTTTATATTTATGTAAATATGTTAATATTTCAGTGATAGAGCGAGGCATAGTGTCTTTACACTGTATAAATGATGTCCTATAAATACTAAATAATATTTTAAAGATATGAAAATGTCCCCTTTGTATCCAAAAAAGGCACATAATCACTCTCATCAGAGAAGACTATAGCTAACGAACCGTATTCACTCACAATGGATGGTGATACAAGTGACTGTATGCCATGACTGAAATTCTGCTTTACCCTCCTGATTACTACTAGTTGCATTGCTGGTTTAAGAAGAATGTTATTTGGTTTGCAAATAAACCGTTTGAAGCAGTATACACTATGTATGTGGGTTTTTAAATAAACTTTATTATTGAATGGATCACATTTAATTAAGTGTTTTGTGTCCATTTAAAGAAGTGGTTGGAGAGCAAAAAATCTGTAATAATATTTTTCACTTCTTTTTTTACCAACATTGGTCCTGATCATAACACATTTTTTATTTTAGTTTTTTTTTTATATATACAAAATGCCACTGTTGCCACAAAAACAATTATTTTCAATATACTAAATGCCAAGTAGATATTTATTTTGATTTTTGCGATCTTTTACAATCAGATTAGCAACGACATTGATAGGACAAAAATGGACAAACATTTCTGTCATAGTGGACCATTAGACCATCATTTCATGATGTAAATAAAATATAAACACAAACGTCAATAGAAACTGATACATTCTGCTACCCCATGATCACTTCGAGTGTAGAATGTATGTTAGTAGTTCACCGCTCCAGGTCGTTAGATGGCGCTGATTTACTTAATCAGCAAAGCTCGCTGCGAGCAAAACATCTCGCGAAGTAAACATGCACGTCACCCGACACGTGTTGTTACGGCGTTACACACTACCTAGTCAACGAAACAGTGAACATGCGGGAGAAAAAGAGTAAAGAGGAGACCCAGATAACCGATGACCCTGTGAAGAATTTTGAGAAATGGAAAAGGAAATACAACAAAACAAAGAAAATAGTCAAACGAGTTCAAAAGACCACTAAGAAACGCGACTGGGAGGTGGAGAGAGAAAACATACAGAAACTGGTGAAGAAATACTCGGAGGTGAGATATCATGAGGCTGATATTACAAAGCATGTTTGACGTCTCGTACAGTTCTTGTTTCTAGGGGTTGCCACGTGTTTACGTACCTGTTACGCAGCTGTTGGCTTGACAGATCAGTCACTCGAATAACTGCGTCTTTTGACATTTCAAAGCAATGTTTACAAGCACATATTTTACTAGTCTTTTGGATATTGTGTGACGCATCACATGCTTGAAGTGTTGCTGATGATCAGGAAGTCTGTCAACACAGGGCTTTACATAAACATACTGTTTTGTATTGTTGGTGGTCAGTGGTTCTTGAGTCCTGGGACAGAACAGGCCACATAACAGATATAAAAGTTTACATATCAAGGATAAATATTGGATTAATTTGATTCGGCAAGTTAAGTAATCAGACGTGTTGCAGTGTTCTGCATCTTCCATTTTAGGTGGTGTTGTTGTTGAGATTTATAATAGTCCCGATATCCTTCATTAGACACCTAATCCACCTTAAAACATGCCACTTGATTTTCCTGTGAAGGCTTTGACACGAGTAACTGTTTTCCTAGATCAATCCCAAAGAGGCTGTGAAGTTCTCTGATTTTCCTCTCTCAAAAAAGACTCTGAAAGGTGGGCAATCTTGATTATTTGCATGTTAGTAAGTTCACTTGTATCTTCTTAAATCTTAATGATGATCTTGTTCATGTCATCAGGTCTTCTTGAGGCTCAGTACAGGCAGCCCACGGAGATTCAGAGGCAGACGATTGGCTTTACTTTGCAAGGGAGAGATGTTCTTGGTGCTGCAAAGACGGGCTCTGGAAAGACTTTGGCCTTCCTCATCCCGGTAAGCAATAGAGCAGTGATGACATGTTTTTGTAGGCCAACTTGAAAGTTTGCATCACCCTGGTTCTCTTAACAAAAACCCATCAGTAATAGGTTTTTGGCCAAAAACCCTTTCAGAAACCCCATTGAATTCAGGATGATGGAACCGAAAGTGCTAAAATGTTAACTTATTCCCAGGTTTTGGCCTACAAAAATGTGTCATCCCTGCAGCACTCTATACACTTCTGAGGTTTGTTGTAGTTTAAACTCAGTAACATTATTCTGTCAAGAAGATAAGTGATTTGACAATGACAAGATTGTATTTTTTTTGTTCTGTTTTATATTTATGTCAGTACGTAATATTTACAATATGTGACCCTGGACCACAAAACCAGTCATAAGGGTAAATTTTTCTGAAATTGAGATTTATACATAATCTGAAAGCTTATATAAGCTTTTCAATAAGCTTTCCATTGATGTATGGTTAGTGAGGATAGGACAATATTTGGCCGAGATACAACTATTTGAAAATCTGGAAACTGAGGGTGCAAAAAAATCTAAATATTGAGAAAATCGCCTTTATAGTTGTCCAAATGATGTTCTTAGCAATGCATATTACTAATCAAAAATTAGGTTTTGATATATTTACGGTAGGAAATTTACAAAATATCTTCATGGAACATGATCTTTACTTAATATCCTAATGATTTTTGGCATAAAAGAAAAATTGATAATTTTGACCCATACAATGTTTTTTTGGCTATTGCTAAAAATATACCCCAGCGACTTAAGACTGGTTTTGTGCTCCAGGGTCACATGATGTAGAATGATATTATGTATGTTATATTTAGGTAAATATGTAATGAACCTTTTAGAGCAACATTGGGGTGAGTAAATGATGACAGACTTGATTTCAATCTGCAGTGTTTTTCAAACTTCAAACATAATTTTGAAGCCTCTCTAATGCACTGTGACTGTCTCCAGATTTTGGAGTGCTTGTATCGTGAACAGTGGACTGCGATGGATGGCCTCGGCGCTCTCATCATCTCTCCCACCAGAGAGCTGGCCTACCAGACCTATGAGGTGCTGAGGAAGGTCGGCAAGAACCACGAGTTTTCTGCCGGTCTTGTAATTGGTGGAAAGGTGTGTCTCTCTAGTCTTTAGTGATTAGTATGGTTCTTGCATATTTTTTTTGTCAAGGTTTTTATTGTGTAGTAATTGGTTATTCTTTTTCAATGACTGCAGGATCTGAAAGATGAATCGGAAAAGATCCATCGGACAAATATCGTTATCTGCACGCCAGGACGTCTGCTGCAGCACATGGACGAGACGGCCACCTTTCATGCTTCAAATCTGCACATGCTAGGTAGGATGGTGCTTAGAAAATGTTTTAAATACACTGCTGTTCAAACGTTTGGGGTCAGTAAGATTTTTGTTTTGTTTTTGAAAGAAATCTGCATTTATTTGATCAAAAATACACTAAATATGGTTAAGTATTACAAAGAGCTTTTTCTATTTTAATATATTTTAAAAGGTAATTTATTCCTGTGATGGCCAAGCATAATTTTCAGCAGCCATTACTCCAGTTTTCAGTGTCTCGTGATCCATCAGAAATCATTCTAATTTGCTGATTTGGTGCTCAAGGTCCATTTCTTATTATTATCAATTTTGAAAACAGTTGTTCTGCATAGTATTTTTGTGGAAATTGCGGTACATTTTTGTCAGAATTCGTCAGTGGATAGAATTTACTGACCCCAGATTTTTGAATGGTGGTTCATGCGTGTTTACTTTTCATATTTTCATCGCGTTACTTTAAATAACATGACGTACTTCCTCTTCCATGGCAGTACTTGATGAGGCCGACAGAATTCTGGACATGGGTTTCACCGACACACTCAACGCCATTGTTGAAAACCTTCCGACAACACGGCAGACCCTTCTCTTCTCTGCCACTCAAACCAGGTCCGTCAGAGATCTGGCCAGACTGAGCCTGAAGAACCCAGAGTATGTGTGGGTCCATGAGCAGGCCAAGTTCAGGTAAGATCATGATTTTATAGTGATTTGTGTTGGGCATCTGTGTTAGTGAGCCTGCTCTTAAAGAGATAGTTCACCCAAAATTGAAAATTGTGTCATCATTTACTCAACCTCATGTTGTTCCAAACCTTTATTAATTTCTTTCTTCTTTTGAACACACACACACACACAAAGGAAGAATGTTGGTAACCAATGTTCCCTCTCATTTTTTTTTTCTTGCTGAGCAAAACTTTTCTCTGTTGGGTGGACATTTCGTCCACCTG